TCGCTGTATGTTTCGCGTCGGTTGCGATTCGGTTTCGTGGCTGCAGCGGTTTTTATTCACTACGGTCTAGCGGTCGAATTCGCGGTCAGAAACTAGTTAATCGCGACCGCGGCAAATTATCGTGATTACACAACGCCACGCTTGTTTATACTGTTTCAACTGTCAATAATTACGGCGATAGACACCTTTTATAGAAATAAAAATACTAATGTGTGTATTCGAATATTATGTTCATTTATTTATGTAACCGTAGTTTAAATCATATTTGTAACAAACAAAATCCGTTAAAATAAATGCAAAATGTACATATGAAACATACTGTTTCATATGTAAAAAGCGTTGAATGATTTCTTTCCACTTTCAAAATAATATCTTACATTTTGAAAACTTTTTCAGAATCGAAATACTACTTTTATATATCGTATAAGTTTAAAAAAAAAGATTCCTATACAGTGACGGCACGAACCCTATTCAGTACTGAGTATCATTGAAATGAAATATTTTCATATTTCATTTCCGAACGGCTTACCTACATATAGCAACGGCTTAAAAACTTAATACTCTTAATGATAATGTTTTAAATATAAATAAGCTGGAATCAGTGTTTATTTAGGACAGCCATACACGGACTATAAGTGCCAATTTACGGAGCTTTTAAATAAAGAATACAAAACCTAATACTAAGTAGAGTTGAAGCAGAACTTTCATTTAAAATTTTCCTTTACCATAGCATATATTTAAACTGATATTTTTTTACAAATTCCGTATATTTTTATGTATATATTTATAATTATTCTGATTCTGAGATGAACAATTTCAAATGGGTGATTTATAGAAAGTAATCATCGCAGTAAATAATGTTAATTGAAGATTCAAAAGCTAATTTAAATCAGGAGCTACTCATCAAAACTTATTTGTATTGTTAATTATAAAAAGCCCTGCGCTGTACGTCTGCATATTTTATAAAGTACATGTTTAATACTTTGTTTGTGTTTTATCTTGTTACCAGAGAAAATGCAATAAAACTGGCGGTTAAATGTAAAGTAATGAAAGTGCGCGTGTTATAACTGCGGAGCTTTGATATTTATTATGTTCTGTAAATTTAATAGGGCAACTACTTTAAAAAATGAACGAAAATGTTTTTACCTTTAACCTTTTATATCTTAAAAGCGCACCGATTGTTTGCTTGTAGAGGAGTAAATATATATAACCTATTAATTTTGTTGTACTTTTACTGACAGTTCCGCGGCTTACAGGGAGGATGTTTTGTTTTTATTAGAAAAAAAAATTAACAATGCAAACAATAGATGTTTATTCTGTTGTTTGTATTCTTTAAGGGTTTGACTTCGTATTATATTAATTGAATTATTATTTAAGTGAAACTAAAAATATATTTCATGAACGGAATAAGCTTTGTAATATTTTATCGGATTCGTTTAAGGAAGCAAACGTTTGTACAAACATTTGTAACAAACATTTTTTATTTTTTATTTCGCAAAAACCGCTTAACAAGGCGTCCGACCGGAACACGGCGAGCGTACACCGGCCCTGTTCCCATTTATCCGGTTCTATGTATACATAAAAGTGTATATACGTACATATAGCGTCACCGAACATTTGATACGTGTGCGCCGAATAATTGGATAACCGTTTTTCAGCTGAAACAATCGATTGCATCCGTCGCTGAGCGGAAATCACTTTCAATTCTTTATTTATTTTAAACTTCTAATTGCAATGTCGAATAGATTTATTGGTATATTTTAGAATAGATATTAGTTAACAGTTTACATAAAACTCACAATATTTAAAACTAATGAACAAAGGTAATGTTAAAAATATAATAGTGCTGAATCCTATGACTAGAAAAGCCAAAAGAGGAAAGACTCACCTATGAGTGCGTTGTCTATAACTATCGCCTTTAGTTTCCATCCCTTTATCCGGTTTCTTAACTATTTAAGAGCAAATATTGATAGGCAGTAAACACCTATAGAGGCTTAGTAGTCAATTGAGTTAAGAGTAGTTTGCGTAAAGCTTAGTCTAATGCATATTATATGTTATAACATTACCGCATTAGATGCCATCGACACATAATCAAATAAGTTGATTTGAGGTCGGCAGAGGCTATGCGTTGACAACTCGCAATCGAGTTAGCGAGGTTATACACAAACTAAGTACAAATAGTACAGTAATAAATACCTTCTTTAATACACTTTTACAAGGTTATTGTATTTTTACTAAATTTAAAACACTAGTTGGCGCCCGCGACTTCTGTGTCAAGGACGAATTTCCAAAAATTCTGAAATACATAGTGTTTTCGTCTCATCGCCTACTTTAGGCCCAGTTGATTGCGATGTCTGTTGCTATATATCAAGCAGGTAATTAGTTTAAAAAAATTATAATATCTAATTAATAGATTTATGAAATCCGGTAATTCAATTAATGTACATTTGGTTTCGCATTTCATTCAACGAAGAAGCCAGTTAACGCTCGGTTTTTTGTTATTAATATGCAATTAGTAAAATTTGAATGCCAATACTCGTAAGTTTTATCTTTTCAAATTATTATAAACACTTCAAAAGTTATTATAAATGTTGCAACTTAATAAATATAATAAAGGTCAGCTTCTATTTGAAACTTAAGCAAAACAGTTCGAAAGCTATTTCCGTAACTCCGAAACTAAAATAAAAGGTATTGTGCTAGGAAATTAGGGCAGGCGACAATCCTCTGTAGAGGCAACGGCCGGAGTATTATGCGGTAGCCGACCGCTGCTCAACCCTAACATATTGTATAGAAACGTTCCATTTTTAGTTTTACTATTACGAATAACCTATTCTATGTTCAAAATATACCACATACATATTAATTAACCTTTGGCATTAGATTTGCTATAGAAAAGTTTAATTTATGAATACACAACATTCAAGCCCTAAGAAACATGCTTGGGGTAAACTGCAAATTCTAATCTGATCGCATCCCCTATATCTATTTAAATCCAGATCATTTATGCTTGCCTGGCTGTTGGTACGGATACATGGAGAAGTGAACACGAACCGTACGTTTTCCCTTCTGTAATGAATGATGAAAAACAACACATTATTATTTTCTATTACTTTATCAAACGTATTTCGTTTGGTGGTAAAGTCATGCCATCTATTGGTGTAAATAGGATTCACTCGATTTTTTTATAATTAGATTTTCTGTCGATGGCTGCAAATAATGTCCGAATTACTAACCAGTATGTATAGATAGATAAGGCGATAGTAAGTATTTACTGGGCTGATATGATGAGTTTAATAATTTATGAGATATAATGATGTCAATCGTCACATTTTATTGAATGTAATGAATCGACATCGGTTTACGTATCTAATTGTAATTATGTCGTACACTTTGATTATACGTTATCAGGGTCGGTGCTATGAGCGTCATTATTTTTTTTTCAATGACCTCTTGATGTGACATGCATGTTTTTCTCGCGGTGCGAGTTACTAAATTATTGCGCCCAAGGTCGCAACTAACAACGCACGCCGTCACCGATGTATAGTTTTGCTCGAGAAAAAGTTTCTCGCGCTCGCTGAGCACTTACTCACATTTGTTGTTGTTCGACTCTGCAGCCTATTATGCGAAATTATGTCACAGCTGTAACGCAGTGGGTGTTGTAAACAACTAACAGTGGCGCCATCTATACGTCAAGTTGTACGATAATAAACACGTGCAGCCTGCCAGCGTGCTCGTCACGTGCTATATCACGAACTGTTTTACCGACGAGGCCCATGTCTACCAATCATAATAAGTGCTGCTATGTCGAGCATATCGTTTTTCGCCAATAGAGGCTAAGCACACTCCGCATTCGGGGTGCACGTGTGATCACAGAAAAAATTAATAGTGATTTTAATAACACTCAATTATTTTTGTTATGGTGTAATATTATTGTTAAATGTGAGAAATATTTTTTTAAAATTGGTTTTGCTTTTAGTCATGAAACGGAACGGTGAGTTTGTTTTTAAAATCAATTTGATTTTAACAATCCGGCAAGTAACGCTAACGCCATCTCTGTCCAAAATACTTGACGAAACTAACGAAACCTCATGTCATACGTACGGCGTTCACAGTTAATTTTAGTTCGGTAAACTGAAACTAGATGGCGTTTTAAGAATATTCTCTGAAATTTAAAATTCACAGTCGCATTCATTATTTTTATTTTACTCCTTACCTGTTTTTCCACTGTTGTGAGTTCAATTTAAAGGTGATCTTTGACAAATTATTTTATTTTAATAATCTACTTAAAAACAATCTTTGGATCGAATTCAGTTGTGAACATTCGGTTTTTACGTTTTAGTTTTTGTAAAATGCCTAATGTTTAGTAAAAACAAAAGTTCACTTCTAGTGGAGGGTCACTACTTCAATGATTAGGAAGAATTAGGGACTCAAACTTACTCAATAATTTAGACACTTGCAAAAATCTACCAAATAAGCAAGTAAGTGTGTCTTTTAATTTGACTAAGGAGAATGCGAACGATATAAAATGTGTACATTTATATGCCTACAAATAGGAGAGAATTCTGATTTTTAAAAGTTATTTCATTTATTTTATTTTATTAATTTAATGCAGACCTTTTATATTTTTTTCTATAATTCTCAATTTGTTGTATTTTTAACCACCGCTTTTTTTTTAATTTTATATGTTATTAAGTCATATTTAATTTTCATCACCATCTCGGGTCTCCACCGCCAAAACGTACCATCGATCACATAGTTACTCACCATCAAGTGGGTCAAGCACTAGTTTATTCAATATAAAAAGGATAGTGCTATCTCTTTTTTTGAAAGTGGAAGAGTAGAATAGCGACATGATTTTGATCAAACGTTTGGCAGGAGACACGTAAAGTAACTGGCCACATCAATGTATAATTTTTTTTTCTTCATTTTGTTATTTTCATTTTATTCGCATTTTGTTTTTTTTTGCTTTTTTTACGTTATTATTTTATCCTTGTCCACAGATTTCCTGAGTAACGGGGCGAGCTTCAATAAGAAATACGGTTAGTATATATCATTAGATGGATATGCGATTTTTTCACAAATATAAAATATTCAAACTTGATGTTACCGAAAATAGATTTTTATCGTTTTTCTTCGTAATGGTAAATTTTATTAAAATATTACTTTACACCTAGTTGTACAATATAAAATTATCTTAGAGTTTTTATTGGTAATTTTATTATCTACAACTACTTTATTTTTTAAAGATCCACCGTTTTTGATATATTACGGTTTAAACAGTTGAATTTAATTGGGAAAATTTACACATGAATATGTACCTTGAACAACTGATATAGAGCTGAAAATTATCTGCAATGGTCAGAATACACTTTATGAAACCTGAAGAGTCCACATGGATGCCTTAGTTGGACACCGAGTTATTCTACTTTTGCATTTCATTCATTCATTCAAATAAATATTCATTCATTCATTTCTTAATTAAGCAGTATATTACATCTGATAAATCGACTCACAGTTCAAGACACAGGACCTCGAAGAGAAGTTGCACAGATTCGACCTTGAATTTTACACAGATATGTGTGTAATTACATAGCCGGCAAGCACTAAAAAGGCTTTTACTTCACTCATAATTTATAGTTCTAAAGAATCAGGTTAGTTTTAATAACCCATCAATCAACCAACCAAAGGAATAACCCATCAGCAGAATTGCTTGATACTGTTAAAAACACATTGAAACACAAAAGGAGTATCTTCTATGTAAGGATTGTTGATTAGTGAAAAATACGTCTTTTTCAACTGTTTGAAGCGTAATATCCCATAAACTGTGACTTTATGTTTATAGGTAAACTAGCTGAACCCGCGACTTCGTTTGCGTGAAAAATTGCCTTTGGGTAGCATTATTAACTGAAATATAAACATAATGACAAAACATATTGAACTTACAAAACATTCACACGAACCTCACATATTGTCAGATAAATTTTCATCCCCTATTCCGTATTGTTATTAACATTTAAATGTTTATATCAAATTAACAGTCTACAAAATAAGTTTCAAATTTCTAACTGCAAAAATTACGATGCTTCCATAAAAATTTCCGCCCACACTAATTTTATCGCGTTAAAAAGTAGCCTATGTCCTTTCTCAGGCTCTAGACTAACTGTGTAGGGAGACATAAAAACAGACAGGGTTACTTTCGCATTTATAATATTAGTAAGGAATCAAGGATTTATGACTTAAAACTCTTTCTAAGGTAAATTTTATACAACATACCTTTTCGCCGAAAAAGGCAAAAAAATGAATTGCAGGGAATCAGATTCACTTCAATAGTTTCCCATTATTTATATTAAAAACTTTTCTCATTAATATTTGCAGCTTTGCAACAAGTCCGTGTGACATTTGTAACATTTCACGTTGTATAAACAAATTGAAATAAGCTGTTTGTTTAATGACATTTAACTTTTCTTATTTAATAAGAAAAAGAAATGAATGATTTAACTATTCAAGTATTCTTTAACTAATTTTTAATAGAAAGGTCAGTGTTACATAACATCAAGAGCGATTTTTACTCGAGTAATTCAGTGTTCATACGTACCTATATTAACAATAAGATTATTAAGATACATCTTAACTTTTTCTCATTGACTTGTGTTGTAACCAACATAAGCACTGTGAAATTTCACTGGATGACAGCAGGTCTCTCCCCGTCTGACTCAGTGAGGTTATGTATTTCGTTCGTATGTTTTTATTTATTGTTTTTCCTGTGCGACTTCCTGTGGCGTAAACGATTTAATGGATTTTTATTAGTGGATTTGTTGGGTGTTATTTGATTCGTAATCTCAGTGTCATACGAGTGCAGTCAGTACGCTTTATTTTATTTCATTTTATAAAAAAAAGTATTTATATAAATGTTTTCGACTTTGAATTCCTGCACGTATATTACAAAAATAATATAAGAATTAATTATAACATTAAATAAGTTAGATAGCATTAGAGTTTCTAAATTTCTACAGCGATTAACAATGGATAAGTGGTCTACGCCGTAGACGCGTAGATCCGCTTTTCATTTGATCGGGAGTTAGGAAGTGCTACGTTATAACTATCACCGTGAATAGTATAAAGATTATGGAACATTTTATGATTGCTGGCGAAATAATTATTTATTTATGCATTTTAATACATATGATTATAATGCATGTTTCAATTTACGATTATACCTTATATATTTTTTTAAATATTTTCTTTTTATAAAAAATTTAGTTTTTATTATTTTTTTATTTAGAGTGTAGTTACCAATGAAAGCCAAGTATTAATAAACGAATCGTTTATTCAAAAAACCAATCGCAATTTTAATAATTAGGATTCTTGTAAAGTAGCGCCTCATTACTTAGATCCTCATAAAATAAACATCGCATAAAATGTGTATACAATAAAAAGATTGCTGTAAATATGTCATATACTTTTAAGTGATATGGAAGTTACATGTACATGTAAATATATGTACATCGACAACGATGATGTCCGAATGGTTGGTAGTCGGCTTGATATCGAAGGACTCGTCTCGTAGCGAGGTAGGCTGTAGATTCACGGGTGAGGGGCGGTGAGCGGCGGGCCGAGGGGCGGTGCGACTGCGCACGTGGCCGGCGGTGTGCACGTTGCGCGCGGGCGTGCGGCTGCCGCACGTGGCGGCGAGTGTGCGTTGTTGCGAGCTCTGAATCGGTAGTTCCCTCAATCCCGCTCCGATAGTGTCCGGGATCGGTTGTGTTTGCTCCGTCACAATTGAGTCTGGTCCCACGGACGTGGGCGGCGCGCTCGCCCGCTGCTGGTCGTCGCGTCGCCTAGACCGTCACGGCTACATCGACATGGGCACCGACTCCTCGCGCCCTCCGCCATGGCCGCCCTCCGCTGCGTCGAGCCCTGACTGTTTCTTCCTGCCGCCGCCTGCGCCGATGCCCACGATGCCCCGCCGCGTACCTTCACGAACCTTCCTCGCAGGTATGGCACGCTGAACACCCCAGTCTTCTAGAGTTTGTCGGAAATAAATAAGTAAAATTAATTGAAGTCAAAACAAACTATTTAAATTTGTGGTGTAACGGAAATATAGTTAAATTGTGCGTAGTACTAGAAACTTATCAGCTGTTTATGGTTATTCGAGAAAGTGTTTATTTTGTTGCGTCGCGCAGTTTCCTTACTTTTTAATTGGTATTGTTTATGTTAATTGCGATCCGTAAATCAAGTATTTATTTATCGAGCTACGATGACAGGACTTCCAGACGGTCTTAAATCTTAAACGCAGTTACAATATTCATTATCTCGCGATTTGTAAACAACAAGAAGTGAATCAACAGATGATGTTTCAAAAATAGTTGTGATTGAGACACGTGTCGCTGCAGGGACTCAGCTCAGAAGCCATTGAAACCATATCGCGGCATTGTTGCAAGGTCGCATAAAAAAAACAATCACTTTTATATACTAGTATAAGCATTGAATAATCAGTAAGAACTGTACATCAAACACAATATATCAATATATGACAAGATATATTAATTACATGCAATATTGTAAGAAAGTACTAACAATAAACAAATCATTATAAATCTGTGATTGAAGTTAACATTTTAATAATAAACATAATGAATGAAGAAAAATCGTTTGACACATTAATTTGATTTTATTAACAACATAAATGTTTCATGTCAATTTGTTATGCCGTCATACATTTTGGAATTATTATAGGACGGAATTACAATAAGAAATTATTGTTCACAGTAAAATATAATTCATTATTTTTAGAGTTTCTGGCAAAATAAAAGTTATCCGTGAAATTAAGAGTAATATTTGTCTTAATTATAAAACAAACTTTTCGCATTAATATTTGAATGCGGGTTGAAATAATAGAAACGTATAGTAAATAATATTTGCATAGATGTAAATAACATTAGTGGTAGAGTTCGCAACATCAGCAGTCAAGTCTCACTACCCCACAGAAAACAGGCGTGAAGTAGACTATGCATTTTGTGTTATAACTCGTATTCGATTCTTCTTTTGTTTTATATTATAAAATATTAAAATATCTATGTTTTATCTTAATTCATCCTACATATTATTTGTATTGATGTAATACATACAATATGTGCGCCATCTTAATTAAGGAGCAGTTATTAATTTTACGGCAATTAAAATTAAGCGTCAAATAAACTTGTTTAATAATATTTTTAAACTTTACTTTTGTGTCAATTAAACTTGGCTGGCATATTGTAGGTTTATTTTTTTAATCTTTTTAATAATATACCGGTATGTTTTCTTAAAGTGGTGATAACGCAATTAATAAATATTCAACAAGGAAAAAACGTACACAACTATTTTATTTACTTTATAGTACGAAAATACATTGTTTAAATGTATTATGTTTTTGGTCCATATCGAGTTCCCTTTATATTTTGCTTTCCCGGCAGATTGCTGGATTCCTAAAAGTGGACATTCGGTGGAAAAATATTCTGTTTTCTATTGAAATATTCGGAGAATTTTTGGATCAATGGAGAATTCGCCTAGCTTATAACGGAAAAGCAAATTTTAATATTTTTTGCAATTGCAATCAGATAATAGCAACCGATCAAATCGAGGTTCGGTCTTCTCGGGCACCCTTGAATCGGAATGCTAAACGCGTAATGAGTGACAGTCCAAGCCGAGGTCCCCTCTCGTTGGCCCTTGAGTCCAGTCACTCCATGGAGCGTCCACCTAAGCGATCTAAGAGCTCGGTGACCTCCCAATCCGGTATCTATAATGAAGTAACAGCCCGAGCCGAGGCTCCTAAGGGCGTCCTCGAGCCTTGTTACTCTTAAACGAGGTTCAGGCTAAGCGCCATCTGCGCTCGGCCATCTCAAGCCCGGTGAAGCTGTAAATGCCTCTTCAAGACAAACAGTGACTACTCAGTCACAAAAAAAATGGTTGAAAATCGAATTGGTAAGCAGCCGATGTGTGCGGGAGTAACTTGGGCCATTTTATTTATTTTGCGCTATAGGAATTGCGGGTAAAGTTA